ATCAAAACTAATTTGATATTATAAGGGTTTTAGGGTTAAGCACTAACGAAATCTGTTTGATGACAAATCATCCATTAAAATAGAGAGAACGATATTGAATGAAATGAAATTTACGATAGGATTATAATGACAAACGAAGAAAATAACTACGATTGTTTTTAAAATTTTCTTTTAATTTAATCATTCAGAAACTAAGCACTATACATCCGAACTTAATACATCAAAACAACAACAATAAATTACGCTGTATGTTTAATCACTCGAGAGCAGATATTGGTTTAGCAGATTACATGTGATGTTTCATGTATTTTGAAGCGATAGTTGAATTTGTTTAAAAATAAACGTAACAATATACGACCCTATTTCAGAAGTAAATGAATTTTTATTTGTTGATACTTCGCTTTAAGTAGTTTTTTAAATATAGAATGAACTTAGTAAAAAATCAATTTTAATCGAAAAATTAACAAATTTGTCCTTTATTGTATCCAGTATTTGCAGTTCACTGTTATTTTAATGTTTTATTTTAAGCTCTATTTTATTGTGTGTTGTTGATAAACTACACTTGTTTGTTTTGAATTTATGTACAAAGCTACATAATGGGCTATCTATGCTCTGCCCACCACGGGTATCGAAATCCGGTTTCTAGCCTTGTAAGTCCGCAGACATACCGTTGTGCCACTGGGGGGAAACTGTACTTGTAATGCTTTATCTGGGTTTTAAGTATCGTGACTTTACCTTTCTCGGTCTGTACACACTACCAGCGAATATATTCTTGTAATAACTGTAACCCCCAGAAAATGCTTAGAGTTAAGAAGAGAAAATATGATGATGATGACGACATCCCTGAGCATCTAGAGGAGAAAAGAAGTTCGATCCCAGTTCCCTTTCTTGAAGAGAATGAGAGAATGTTATTCAAGTTGGTGGAAGAGGGCCTTGTGGCGGAAACGGAAGAATTTTTAAAGGCAAAAATAGATTAAATAGAATGTTACCTAAAACATATATAAAGTAATTTTAATTCCATGTATTTCACCTTATTAATACTAATCTCGGAAGTGTCTCACGAGAAACAAAATTGATAAAAAACATCATTCAACGTTCAGAAAATTCTCCAAACATTTTTATGACTCAGAGACTATTTCAGACCTCTATTTATGACTCAGAGACTATTCCAGACCTCAATTTATGACTCAGAGACTATTTTAGATCTCTGTTTATCACTAAGAGACTATTCTAGACCTGTATTTATCACTAAAAGATTGTTATAGGCCTCTAATTATTACTAATAGACTATTCTAGACCTCTAGTTATCACTAAGAGATTATTCTATACCTCTAGTTATCACTAAGAGATTATTTTAGACCTCTAGTTATCACTAAGAGATTACTCTATACCTCTAGCTATCACTAAGAGATTATTTTAGACTTCTAGTTATCACTAAGAGATTATTTTAGACCTCTAGTTATCACTAAGAGATTACTCTATACCTCTAGTTATCACTAAGAGATTATTCTAGACCTCTATTTATCACTAATAAACTATGCTAGACCTCTATTTATCACTAAGAGACTATTTTAGACCTCTTTATCACTAAGAGACTATTCTAGACTTCTATTTATCACTAAGAGATTATTCTAGACCTCTAGTTATCACTAAGAGACTATTCTAGACCTCTATTTATCACTAAGAGATTATTCTAGACCTCTAGTTATCACTAAGAGACTATTCTAGACCTCTATTTATCACTAAGAGATTATTCTAAACCTCTATTTATCACTAAGAGATTATTCTAGACCTCTATTTATCAATAAGAGATTACTTTCAGAGAATAATCGAGAACAATTTCTGTCACTTATAAAATAATTCAGACATATTCTTATCATGTATAGAATACTTCAGACGTCTGTTTATCACCTATAGAATACTCCAGACACCTATTTATCATCTGTAGGATATTCAGTCATTTTTTATCATATATATAGAATATTCCAGACACCTATTTATCACCTGTAAGATATTCAGTCATTTTTTTATCATATATAGAATACTCCAGACACCTATTTATCATCTGTAGGATATTCAGTCATTTTTTTATCATATATATAGAATACTCCAGACACCTATTTATCATCTGTAGGATATTCAGTCATTTTTTATCATATATATAGAATATTCCAGACACCTATTTATCATCTGTAGGATATTCAGTCATTTTTTATCATATATATAGAATATTCCAGACACCTATTTATCATCTGTAGGATATTCAGTCATTTTTTTATCATGTATAGAATACTCCAGACACCTATTTATCATCTGTAGGATATTCAGTCATTTTTTATCATATATAGACTACTCTATACATCTTTTTATCATGTATAGAATGCTCCAGACTTTTTTTTTATCATATATAGACTACTCTATACATCTTTTTATCATGTATAGAATGCTCCAGACTTTTTTTTCTCACCTATAGAACACCCCATACTTCTTTTATCACCTATAGAAATATCCAGATATTGTTTTATCACCTATAGAATATCCAGACATTTTTATCATATATAGAATACTCTAGACATCTTCTTACCACTATAGAATACTCCATACATCTTTTATCATACATAGAATACTCCAGACACTTTTTTATCACCTAGAAAACACTCCATACATCTTTTTTTTATTATTTATAGAATTTTCCAGACATCTTTTTATTACCTATAGAATACTCCAGACATCTTTTTTTTTTCAATATTTAAGAGAATATACCAGACCTTTTTCAATACTTCATATAATATTCCAGGTCACTTTGATCACTTAGAAGATACTCCAGACTTCTCACCATAACTCATAGAATATTCTAGACCTGTTTTTATCACTCAGAGAATAACACTGTAAGCTTCTTTAGATATTTAAAGAAATAGTATTGATTTCTTTCAATCACTGATAAAATACTTCAGGCCTCCTTTTGTTACTCAGAGAATATTCCAAATATTTTGATATCACTCAAAAGACACTCCAAACTTATTTCGATTACACAGAGAATATTGCAGACCAGACCTCTTTTATCACTCGTAGAATACTCCAGGCCTCTCTCAATTACTCAGAAAACACTACCCACCTATTATCATCTCTCTCTGAGAATAATCTGACTTCTTTTAATCACTCAGGTTATACTACGGACCTCTTTCGATCACTCAGAAGACACTACACACTTATCACCACCCCACAGAGAATAATCTGACCTCTTTTACTACTCAGATTATAGTCCAGACCTCTTGGTTATTGCAGAATAATCGAACTTCTTTTAATCACTCAGATTATACTCCAGACCTCTTTCAATTACTAAGATAATACAAAAACCTCTATTTATCAGTCATAGAATACTCTATATCACTTTGATCACTAAGAATATACTCCAAATTTATTTTTATCACGTAAATAATACTTAAGATATCTTTATATAATTTAGAGAAAGTTTTCAATCTTTTAGAATATACTCCAAACCTTTTTACATCACCCATAGAATACTCCAAACCTTATTCTATCACCTAGATAATAGCTCATGTCTATTTTGATCTCTAAACAGGTCTGGGGTATTCTACGAGTGATAAGAGCGTTTGTAATATTTTGTCCGTGATAAAAGGAGTTCTGGAATATATGCTGAGTTATTGAAAAAGGGCTGGGGTATTATCTAGTTAAATAAAAAGTCCTGAAGCATTTTCTGAGTGATCAAAATAGGTCTGAAATATTCTCTAAATTATCGAAAAAAGACTGATCAAATATTTCTAGAGTAATCTCTGACTGATAAAAGACATCTAGAGTATTTTCTGGGTAATACAATGAGGACTAAATTATACTCTGACTAACGTTTTAAAAAATATTTTTCTCGTAATAGTTTCTCATCTCGAGAAAAGTAGTTAGAGTTAGTATTGGAAGTTGCAATTAAATGGAAAGAGACAGAGCTCTAGAGTATCTTGAGTGATCTAAACAGGTCTGGAATAATTTCTGAGTGATATAAAGAGCAGTAGAGTATCTTGAGTGGTCTAAACAGGTATGGGATAAACTTGAGTGATATAAAGAGTTCTAGAGTATCTTGAACGACCTACATAGAATTGGGATAATCTCTGAGTGATATTAAGAGCTCTAAAGTATCTTAAGTGACTTAAACAGGTATGGGATAAGCTCGAGTGATATAAAAAGCTCTGGGGTATCTTAAGTTATCTAAACAGGTCTGGTGTATCCTACGAGTGGTATAAAGAGCTCTAGGGTATATTGAGTAATTTATACAGGTTTGGGATAATCTCTAAGTAATATAAAGAGCTCTAGAGTATATTGGGTGATATACACAGGTCTGGGATAAGCTAGAGTGATATAAAAAACCTCTGAGGTATCTTGAGTGATTCAATGTAGGTGAAGCTATGTAAATCGCTGCCAATATGTATAATGAAATGTTATGCTATTTTTAAGCAGGTTACGTGGTTTATGAAGCTTGGATGTTTGTCAAGCTGTTTATTATTTGAAACAAGTGGATGCTTGTCACGATTTTTGTTTAAATTGTTGCTTGGCAACATTTGAAGTAAAATTATTTTTAATGAAATACCTAACCTTTGTAATGGGTTTGATTAGAGTAAAATACTTTATCTTCAAAAACACAGTAATTGCTTATAGGTTTGATAAGATATAATGAAACGGTCTTATCTTTGGTTTGGTTCTTTGTTCAAAACTAATTTTGAAAAAGAAACGTGTAATTCCTTACATTTTACGTTTTGTAGAAAAAATGTTTAACATGTTTTGTCCACTACAGTCCACTGTAATCTAAGAGATATTACATGAAACTGGACCATTACAATACATGTGCCTGTGGGAGTAAATCGCCAAACTTAAATTTGGTTTGTATAAAAAGGTAAAGATAAAACTGTTTATATTACTTTACGTTCAACATATTTTTCAGGAAACTCTTAGTGCCAAAATTTTGTTTATACCTTTTTTCTCTGACTTTTTAGGAAAACTCTGATGTCAACATCAACGCACTTAACCATCAAGGCCTAACAGCTTTACTTGTAGCTGTTAATACCGAGAATGTTGCGATAACTGAAATGTTTCTAAAAAGAGCGGACATTGAAATTATGGATGCACTCCTCCATGCTATAGCTACAGGAAATCTGGAAATAGTGATGTTGCTCCTGGACACCATGGGGTAAAATGTAAAATAGGTCTAAAGTAACTGATATAAAAATACCTCCTCGAACAAGTAAATAATTTTTCTTGATGAATAAAACAAAATATTGATTTTCAGAAAATATTGCATCTGAATATCATTGAGATTTTAAGTCTCAAAGAAACTGCCCTGATGATATAGTAAACCAAATTAAAGGGATTTAAAAAAATAATTGTAAGCGTCGGATAAACCTCTTATGATTTGGTATCTGTACGTATCGTAGCGTAGTATGGTGATGATGCAGTAAAAAGCTTTACAGGTGAATGGAAAACTTGTACTCTTGGATAGCTCAGTCGAAGAACCCTGGACCTATTAGCCAAAGCTCAAATTCCAAAATCTATTTTCATTATCGGCTTTTTTACTTAAAACTTGACATTAATTATTACTCGTCCTGAATAAATACAGGTTTAGTTGAACAGAGTTGTTTAAACATTTGTTTAACAATAAGTAAAAGTTTGGAATGGTTTATTCTTTCAATGAACACTACTGTTTGTTACTGGTGTATATACAACACAAATATTGTTGATACATTAGATTTAAATACCAAAACTACTGTCTGTTACTGGTGTATATATTGCACAAACATTGTTTATACATTAGATTAAATACCAAAACTACTGTCTGTTACTGGTGTATATACAACACAAATATTGTTGATATATTAGATTAAATACCAAACTACTGTATGTTACTAGTGTATATATTGCACAAACATTGTTGATACATTAGATTAAATACCAAAACTACTGTCTGTTACTGGTGTATATACAACACAAACATTGTTGATATATTAGATTAAATACCAAACTACTGTCTGTTACTGGTGTATATACAACACAAATATTATTAAGTACGAATACTATTGTATTTTGTGTACTGTGTCCCATATTTGGATAATTACTGCGTTACAATTAATATTTATTTCTAAATACCAGGATATGCAGTCTGTAACACTGTGTACAAATAACCAATTTGAGGAGGTTTATGTAATAATAACAAAACGAGTTAGTTTGAAATAATGTAGTATTTATAGACTTATTAAGATGATTACTAAGCATCGATCTATAACTATTGAATTAATCGATTTCTATCAATCGAAGGATTTTCCTCTCACGTGTGGATTCTTTAATAGTTAATCTGGATCTTTCTTGAGATAAATCTTGAATTTTTGTTAAGATAACCTTAATCTCTAATATATCCAAATTGGACTCTGATTCTTTAGATAATTTTATCTCTTCATTTGTCATGTATTCCTTTATGGTCGGTACTTTTATATTTATTTCTGAAATTGTGTAATTAGTTATTACTTGTAAAGTAAACTTACACTTTGTAAAGCCCGGCATGGCCAGGTGGTTAGGGCGCTCGACTAGCAATCTGTGGGTCGCGGGTTCGAATCCCTGTCACACCAAACATGCTCGCCCTTGCAGCCGTGGGGGCGTTATAATGTGACGGTCAATCCCACTATTTGTTGGTAAAAGAGCAGCCCAAGAGATGGCGGTGGGTAGTGATGACTAGCTGCCTTCCCTCTAGTCTTACACTGCTAAATTAGGGACGGCTAACGCTGATAGCCCTCTTGTAGCTTTGCGCGAAATCCATAACAAACAAACAAACACTTTGTAAACAATTTTATCCTGGTAATCGAACAGATGTACATCTGTCTGAGGGAATATTTTAGACAGCATTGTTTCATTTTTAGCATTAGCTAGCAGGTGTTAGAGTTCTGTAAAAACAGAGGTGATTGTTCTCGTGACACAGAATCCCCATATTTTATCTTTTATTCCTGTAAATATTACATAATTAAATTATAAAAAAAGGTACCTGAATTTAGATTGCTTACTCTTATTAGTCCTTTGATATATTTCACAATATTATTCGCCATCCTTTCTAAATGCAGTGCTGATCACTTGAAATATCTGCATACGGATTTTCGCTAATGGAAAAGAACCATTCAACTCTACAAGTAGTGAACTACTTTACATAATTTAAACAATTTATCAGTTGCCTTTAAAGGTATATTGGTAAACATTCTTAAGATATTTTCAAAAGCTGTATTCTTTACGTCTGCTATTAATGTCGACGCTACCTTATTCAGCCATACTGTCTTGTGATGAGCCTTTGTTAATGTCTGTTCACTAGCTTGGAGTCGGCCCCCCAGTGGAACATCAGTATGTCTGCGGACTTACAACGCCTGAATCCGGGTTTCGATACCCGTGATGGGCAGAGCACAGATAGCCCATTGTATAGCTTTGTGCTTAACTACAAACAAACAAAATCTAATGTCGGTAACTGCGTCATCATTCTCGAGTGGAACATAGTTTAATCTTCTATATGTTTGATGTATTCTGTCTCATTGCTTTTTAATGTCTTATCTATCATTTATTTGTCCAACTGGTCCTTGGTCTTCGGGTAATTTTTGCATTCATAAAGCCTAACCTTCTTATTATACTGATGTATACTAACTGTTCTCTTACCATACATTTCTTGTATTATCGGCTGTGAAACGGATGTCACTGTACTAGGAGAAACAACGTGTCCTAATGTTTCTAAAGAAACTTACCTTGAAAGCAGGATCTTACAATAATGTTCCCAATCATAGTTCAGTCTACATACGTTCTAGGAAAGTTGTATCACAAAATAAATGAAAGTTGTTTGTTTGATTACTCTGAAGAGGCCTTTCTATAGCTTAACTACTTTCTGAATCGGACCCCAGCTGTTACTGGGGTTGTATAAGGACTGCTACTGTCCTGTTTATGAACTACTTCTACTAGGGTTCATAAGGATTAATACTGACCTCTTTAGGAACTAATTCTACTGGGGTTCTTAAGGACTGATACTGTCCTCTTTAGGAACTAATTATACTGGGGCTAAATAAAAATAAAGACTGTTACTGTCCTCCTTAGGAACTACTTCTACTGGGGTTCATAAGGACTGATACTGTCCTCCTTAGGAACTAATTTTACTGGGGCTACATAAGGACTGATACTGTCCTCTTTAGGAACTAATTATACTGGGCAAAATAAAAATAAAGACTGTTACTGTCCTCCTTAGGAAATACTTCTACTGGGGGTTGATAAGGACTGATACTGACCTCTTTAGGAACTAATTCTACTTGGGTTCATAAGGACTGATATTGTCCTCTTTAGGAACTAATTATACTGGAGCTACATAAATATTGATACTCTCCTCTTTCGGAACTAAATATACTTGGGCTACATAAATACTGATACTGTCCTTTTTAGGAAATAATTATACTGGAGCTACATAAAGACTGATACTGTCCTCTTTCGGAACTAATTATACTGGGGGCTACATAAATATTGATACTCTCCTCTTTAGGAACTAATTATACTGGGGCTACATAAATATTGATACTCTCCTCTTTAGGAAATAATTCTACTGGAGCTACATAAAGACTGATACTGTCCTCTTTAGGAACTAATTCTACTAGAGCTACATAAAGACTGATACTGTCCTCTTTAGGAACTAATTCTACTGGAGCTACATAAAGACTGATACTGTCCTGTTTAGGAACTAAATATACTTGGGCTACATAAATACTGATACTGTACTTTTTAGGAAATAATTCTACTGGGGCTACATAAGGACTGATATTGTCCTCTTTAGCAACTAAATCTACTGGAGCTACATAAGGACTGATATTGTCCTCTTTAGAAACTAATTCTACTGGAGCTACATAAAGACTGATACTGTCCTCTTTAGGAACTAATTCTACTGGGGCTACATAAAGACTGATACTGTCCTCTTTAGGAACTATTCTATTGTACTCCTCTACAACTTTACACACGCATTTAACTTCACTCATTGCCACTCTTTTCGGTCTCTTAGTGGTAGGTGTGCAACCTATCATGATAACACTCAGTTTTTGTTTGTTCTGAAAATATGCTCGCACCTTACTGTCTAAATACACATGCACACACACACTTCATTTCAATAGATGATAACAAAAGGTGGATCAAAATATACCTTAGTAAAAATTTTGTACAACAGTATATTAAAAATATTATCAAAGTTCTAAAAAAGAACTAACGTTAGGTTGTAGAATAACATTATAAGTTTATTTATTGATGTAAAGTTTACCCTCCAACAAAACTTAAGCAAAGAACGTACTCAAGTTACAAAGTTAATTTATCTCTTTATCGAATATAGGCTTAACTGATGTTAGGTCTAAGATAAGTGGACTTACAGATTTCGGTGTTTGTGATTAGAATTCTTTGGCATAATTCTAGAAATCCTGTATTTAAAGAAGTGCTGTTGCAGTAAAGATACTAATTTTACCGCAAATGTTTTGTTGGTCTCTGCTAGTTGTTTAATAATATTTTGTGTTTTACTTGGTTTGTGAAACTATTAGGATAACTTTCTCCTACAAATATTCCTCTGATAAGATCACCAGTTATTACTTATGTTTAATCTATATATAGTATCTCAAATAATCTTCTTATTATACTTGTTTTACGTTGGTTTAGTTCTGGTTGAACTAACTACAGTATTAGTTTAGACAATACTGCTTAAATTTAAAATATTATTCGTTTCACTCATACAGGTTACTTGGATATACCTGAGTCGTCTATTTCTACCGGCTCCATTAATCCTTCTAATTTAACTTTTATAATAACTTGTCTCTCTCAGGTGCATTAATCTACATTCTAACAGACTGTCCTGTTGCAATAATCTCTTATCTGTCTAGTTGTGTTCTTCACTTTTGTTATTTCCTACTTTATGTTTAACGACTGGTTCTGTATTAACTCGTTACTACTAGGGTTAATATTTGTGTATCATTATGAAGAGTTTAAGTTTTATTGTTTATTGACTTTCGATCCCTATGTTATATGCTAGGCGTCTGACTACACGTCTGACTCAGCAATACGTTATGATAAGTTTTTTGAAGGTGTACTTTCGAAACTAAGATCTCCGTTTCTACGTATAGCTTATCTCTGGTAATGGATATCTCAATCATTTAAGTGCTATGATTTTGTTAGTGCTGTGCCCATCACAATGATTAAATTCGAAATTTTAGCATTATAAGCCTTCAAATTCACCGCTTAAACACCTGAACGTTCTACCATTAATTGTTAGGGATTCAATTGAACACAGACTCTAGTGTAACACCAACACACACACGTTGGTAGTAAAATTTAACTCAAAGTGTGTGATATTAAAGTAGCATTATCAGCTGTTACAGTGAATTACTTTGGCTAAATAAACTACTTAAAATACTGAATAGATAATATATTAGAATCAAGTCATTCGTCTCAGTAGTTAAGATTCCAAAGTCTGTTATGAGATAATCATTCTAGTTGATGTTTCAAAGTTCGTAATGAAATAATCGCTCTAGATGATGTTCCAAGGTCCTTACAGAGTTTTTCTCTCTAGTTGGTGTTCCAAAGTCTGTAATGAGCTCTTCATTCTAGTTGATGTTCCAAAATCCATACCGAGTCCGTCACTCTAGCTGCTTCTCCAAAGACTTTAATGAGTCGAACACTCTAGATGCTTTCGTGACGAAGTTCGTACTGAATTCGTATGCTGTGGACCGGTGATTGCCAATATGCATACTGTGTACATGGCAGTCTTTAAGTGAAGTATTTGGCCTTTTAAGACCTTGTCCATGTGTTCTAGTGTTTCATATCAGACCATAAAACCTTCCTACTGTGGATATACCAAACTGAAATACTATTTGTTTAGTTTCCAAACTTTTTACAACTTAGAGATTGTATTTCTGTCGCATACTTACACCCAATAACTACAGATAAGAGTGTAAAACTAGTGTTTTGGAATAAAAATCCAAATTAAGGCGATCAAATATAAAGACCAAATGGATCACATGTAAAATGCGCCGAAACAGCCATGTCAAATGCACGCCTAAGTGATGGCATTAAAATTAGTGATGATGTACTGAGTTTAAATATCCAGACTTTATTAGTGTAGTCTAGATGCACGTCTTTAGAATATCGGATAAATGCTATCTTTTCTTACATAGAGAGACAACACCTGATGCAGAATACTGTGGAAGTAAGTACAGTTCCGAGTTTCCAGCAGAAGTGACCCCGCTACATTTGGCAATACAGAAAGGAGATTTTGCTATTGTTAGTCTACTTCTAGAACGTGGCCATAGAATTGAAAGACCTCACATCCCTTCTTGTAAGTGGTTTGTTTGTCAGTAGCCAAAGGAGATTTCGCTATTGTTAGTCTACTTCTAGAACGTAGCCATAGAATTGAAAGACCTCACATCCTTTCTTGTAAGTGGTTTGTTTGTCAGTAGCCAAAGGAGATTTCGCTATTGTTAGTCTACTTCTAGAACGTGGCCATAGAATTGAAAGACCTCACATCCTTTCTTGTAAGTGGTTTGTTTGTCAGTAGCCAAAGGAGATTTCGTTATTGTTAATCTACTTCTAGAACGTAGCCATAGAATTGAAAGACCTCACATCTTTTCTTGTAAGTGGTTTGTTTGTCAGTAGCCAAAATTTTCTTATTTTGAAAAGTTCCTACGAAAGGGAATACATAGCAAATGCTAAGAACGTCTATTTTTATTATGCATAAAACACGTAAGTTTAAATACGATATTTCATTAGTTGAAGTTTGTTTAAAATGAGGTTCACGCCTTTACAGAAGTGTATTTATATGATGATGAACTTTGAGGTTGATATTAAGTTTCGTTACTGGCGAAATGCAAATTAAACGAGGATTAATTTTAGTTTCTAGTAGTTAACACGAAAACGTTTCAGCTTAATTATTATTATTATTATTTCATAGCTCATCGTTCTGTACGATATATTATTTTTATTTTTATGAGTGGTGAGTGAAGAGAAAGATTTATTATCTTGCTTTGTTATTCGTTGAAAAGTACTCATTAACTCACAGAGAAGCTGGCTGCTGGTCAGGAGGTTCAGCAAAAGTGTAGTTGATGGACTTTGGTGACTGGTGGAGAAAAAAAGACAAACATATTACAACAAAGAAAAACAATATATAAACCTATAGTTTTGTAGAGCTATAGGTGAAACGAAAGTAAGAAAAGCAGACTTGATGCAAGTCTTGATGCAAATGAAGTGGAAGTTAAAGATAACTTTTCAACATGGCGGGAATTTAATCAAGAATCCTACCACGACTTTGCTAACTGATCACTTCCCTTTCGATACTGGATCTAAACTATTTTAAATCGTAAACCAACCAGGAAAGTGATATTACCTCTGATAGCTGACCAATCACAATTAATTAGGCTTAATGTACTACAGGTTCAGTATCCCCTACGACTGTTGATTAATAGCTCTACAAAGTCCAATGAGCAGATGGAGACGTTCTAGACTGGTAACTGTAACAGAAGAGACAAATTACAGTCATGCATGTAAAAGGCCAATAACAGGCTTACCAAGTGACTCCAGAATCACAAGAAATGTACAAGTTTAGGTAGAGAATTCTGATCTGAAACTACAGGAATAGGTACCTTATGTATCAAAAACATCACATACGTCTGGGACTAATGGACTACAGTGTAACAAAATGATATAGCTTTATAACAATTAGATAAAAGCTATTTTGCAAGTTTTCAAATTGTTGGTAAAGTTTTCTGTCAAAGTGTACAAATTACTGTAAAAGAACAACTTTTTTCTTCTATAAAACCTTTCCTAAATTCACGAAGAACTAACCACCACATCCAAATACATGTAAACATCGGCTACAGCGAGAGTAGTATATGTATAACTTTATATATATTGAGATATTGATATCACGGTTGGAAAGAGTAAAATATCCTAAATTCACGAAGAACTAACCACCACATCCAAATACATGTAAACATCGGCTACAGCGAGAGTAGTATATGTATAACTTTATATATATATATATATATTGAGATATTGATATCACGGTTGGAAAGAGTAAAATATCCTAAAT